AAGAGGCCGGGCCATTGCTGCTGTGCAGGCACACACAAAGCCCTCTTCCTCAGAGTTGGTGTTTGAGGTTCTAGTTGTGGAACAGGAACAGATAAAGATTTCAGCTAAGGATGAGATTGACCCTGGTTATACTGCATTTGTGTCAGATGGTTATGTCTCACTGGTTAGGAGTGGTAGGAAAGTACCTTTAAAGATTTTAAGGGATTCAAGGGCACTGGACTCATTTATTGTGGACTCTGTGTTATCTTTTTCTCCAGAGACAGACACTGGTTCCCGTGTTGATGTTCAGGGAATGGGTTCAACTGTTTTCTGAGTTCCCCAGCATAAACTGACCCTTTTTTCAGATCTAGTGCAAAGTGACTTGGCCATCGGAGTCCGCCCTTCCTTGCCTATGGGGGGTGTACAGGTCATCTTAGGAAATGATCTGGCGGGTGATAGTGTGGCCTTCTGTATTTGCACCTATGGATGCCCCAACGTCTCAGGGAGATGTTTTGATTCTCCCAAAAATCCTCCTGTGGTACTATCCAACTGTGCACTGATGCACGCTATGAGCCCATTTTGACAGTTCAAATAAGAAAAAAAGAGACTGTGTTTCCTGTGCCTGCTTTTCCTTTGCCTGTGTCTTGCAGTGATCTTGTGAAAGAACAAAAAGCTGATCCCAGTCTTCAGGCACTGTACAGCCAGGTTTTACCAGAGGGCGAGGTGAAGAGTGCAGTCTGTGCTTACTTTCTCCAAGACGGCCTGTTGTTGAGAAAATGGGTTTCCCCAGTGGGACTGTTTTTTGGGGGATGAGGTTGTGCAAATAGTTCTGCCTTTTTCATTGTGTCAAACTGTCCTTCACATTGCTCGTGATGGTGTTGCAGGTCATTTAGGTGTGAGAAAAACCCATGATCGAGATTTGCAGCATTTTTACTGGCCATGTTTGAAAAGGGACATTTCCGCCTTTATCAAAACTTTCCACACACGTCAGTTAACTGGAAAACCTAATCAGGCGATTAAACCTGCGCCGCTTTATCCCATTCCAGTTGCTGAGCACCCCTTCTGAGCATTTGATCGTTGATTGTGTTGGTCCCCTGCCACGCTCCAAAGCTGGTAGTTACATTTTGCTTACTGTCATGTGCCAGGCTATGGGCTATCCTGCTTATCCCCTTAGAAACATCACGACCAAGTCAGTTATGAGAGCTCTGATGCAGTTCATATCTTTTTTTGGTATCCCAAAGGTTGTCCAGTTTGACCAGGGATCTAACTTCTCCAAGTTGTTTGCTGAAGTGTTAAAACAGTTAAATGTCAAACATACACAGTCCAGCACCTACCATGCCCAGAGCCAGGGAGCTCTTGAATGGTTCCATCAAACCTTGAAGTCCCTTCTCTGTGCATACTGCACAGAATTAGACTGCGATTGGGAGGAGGGATTACCCTGGCTGATGTTACCTGCCAGGGAGGTGTCCCAAGAGATCCTTGGTTTTAGTCCTAATGACCTGGTTTCCGGTCACACGGTTCGAGTCCCTTTAGCAACCCTTCACAGTGACTGGCAAGCAAAGGAGGCCCCAAAAATTTAATAGATTATGTAAATGGTTTCTAACAGCGGCTGTACCAGGCATACAAAATGGTGCCTAGAGGCAGCCCAAAGTAAAATGAAAAGTCTCTTATGATCAGCAGGCAGAACGACGTGAATACAGTCCTGGTGATCAAGTTCTAGCTCTTCTGCCTTTGTTTGGTTCTCCTTTCCAGGCCAAGTTCTCTGGTCCCTATACTGTGACCCGAAAAGTGTCAGACCTAAACTATTTGATTTCAACCCCTGACTGGAAGAAGTCGGTGCAGTTGTGTCACATTAACTTGTTCAAGCCCTATTTTGCTCGCTCTGCTGTGCCAGGTTAGTGGACGTCGATTTCCTCTGCTGCTGTTGCAGCACCAGTGATTCATTCACCCACACCTTTTGATCAGGAAGCAGAAGTGGAGAGTGTGTGTATGCCAGACGATGGGATGTTGAGAGGATGTTTAAAAAAAACTGTGAGCCTCTTGCCAGTCTTGATGTAATGTTGAAACATTTACCTGACCCAAAGTGAACAGAGTTGGTGAATCTGATTAAAAGTTACCCTTTCCTTTTGAGTGACATTCCATCTCGTACTCATCTTATTGAGCACGATATTGAGAAAAACCTAGAAAGATATTAGCTTGGCGCATTAAACAATTACAAAATGAAAGATCCATTACTACAGTACAGAATAGCAAGGGGGATAACATAGTTGATTTTATAGAAATAAATTAGGCTTTTAGACTGTTTTATGAAAGACTCTGATTAAAAAAAAAAAAGACCTGCAGTTTCAAAAAACCTGCTATGGAAAATTGTTGCCAAAAGGCTAGAGGGCTTACTCCCAGGGATAATTGGAAAAGATCAAAATGGTTTTATTAAGGGTTGTCAAGGGTTACACAATGTCAGGAGAGTACTGAACATACTATACAGCCAGAAAGAAACACCACTGCTCTTCTATCATTAGACGCTGAGAAAAAGTTTGATAGGGTTGATGAGGGTTTGATGTCCTTGAACGCTTTGGATTTGGGGAAAACTTTAGTAAATGGGTTACATTGTTATATACTGACCCTAGTGCAGAAATACTCACTAATAACACATTATCCAAACCAATTAAGATCAGTAAAGGATGTCGCCCTCTGTCACCACTTCTGTTTACCATAGCAATAGAACCCCTGGCCATAGCTGTACAATCCCACACAGAGATCTCTGGTATAATTATAGGTCAAACAGACCACCGTATCGCTTTGCATGCTGATGATATTGTTTTTTTGAGAAATCTGGAGTCAATTCCGGCCCTTGTTAGAATTGATAAATAAATTTGGTAAATTTTCAGGCTACAAAATTAATAATTCCAAATCTGCTATAATGTTACTAAACTCCAAAGAGAGATGTAATCCAACTACACAAGCCTCCCAGTTCAGTGTTGCAAATAATTTTACATATTCGGGAGTAAACATAGCACCAAATATAAAAGAAGTTGTGAACTCTAATTATGATCCTATTATGGAATCAATTACTAGTTTAATTGACAGATGGACAACTTTACCTATCTCCATAATTGGAAGAATTAATGAAAGAAGAATTAATTGAAAATGAGTATACTCCCCAAACTGCTTTATCTATTCCAGAATATCCCACTGCTGCCTCCTCCAAATTTATTCTCAAAGTTAAAAAAAAATTATTTATAAATTTTCTGTGGAAGAACAAACGACCCAGACTACGCCTGTCCCTCCTATACTTACCTTATGACAGAGGGGGGGCTCCAGTGTCGTAATCCTCTTTGGTATTACTGGGCAGCCCAGTTGACAACCATTCATTTTCATTTTACAAAGGACAACCCTCCTGACTGTAAAGAGTTGGAAGTTACCTCTTCCCATGTATATGTACTCATCTAGTCCTAAAATACTTTTTAAAAAAATGACTAACCCCATTACCCGGAATATGATTAAGGTTTGGTAATGGGTGAGGAAGTACCTGGGTGAATCACTTCCTATTTCATGTTTTAGCTCAATTTGGGGAAATGAGGATTTCACTGCAGGTAGCGCTGACGTTTGAAAATTCAGGACTTTTACGTCAAATGATGATAAATTGATGTCTTTTGAGGAGCTTGTATTTACATATAACATTCCACGGAAACATTTTTTCAAATTCTTACAAATCAGAAGCTTTATTGGAGCAAACCAAAAACACTCACTAGATATACCTCCCTATTCACTGTTAGAGGGAAATATGTTAAAGGAATGTACAAGAAAAGGAATAATATCTGGACTTTATGATGTATTTATATCTTGGTCTCCTGAATCCTCTGAAGCTAAACTTCAAGCTTGGAGAGAGGATCTACGTGAAAACATTTCATTTGAGGAGTGGGAAGGTGCTTGTAAAAAAAACTCAATGCAATACAACTGGCTGATGCGATATATTACCCCAGAAAAGCTAAACAAATTTAATAGTAGCATTGCTGATTTGTGTTTTAAATGTGGACAGTCCAAAGGAACATTTTACACTGTGTGTGGGAAGATAAGAAAGTTCTGGGAAGAGGTAAATTATATGATAGAAGAGATTTTATCTGTGCAATTAACGATGGACCCAGTTTTTTCTTGTTAGGCTGTTACCCCAAAGAACATAATTTAGGGAAGAAAGAGCGGATCCTTATAGATCTTTGTTTGACGGATGATAGCACTGTCTTGGAAAAGTATACATAGACCAAGTATTGGTAAATGGTTAAAGGAATTGTCTGTATGTATTTCCTTTTGAAAAAATTACTTATTCTATGAAGGGACAACAAGAACTCTTTAAAAAAAGTATGGGGGCCTTTTATTAATTATCTTGAACATGTACATTTGGAAAGTTTACTGGGTTGGAGCAGTGAAACTGAAGACGATTGATTGGCTCCTTTATTGGGAGGAGGATGCAGGCCTTGCGCACCTCACTTAATGACTGTATGGAGGGATGGACTAGGACACTGGTGATTACAAGTCATAGGAGAAACATTTGTTAGTTACTTAGTGATTTAATTTTTTTGTGTATATGTGTATGTATGGTATGTATGGACACGTGTGTATTTCTTTTTGTTTTTGGTTATGTTTATTCTTTTCTTTTTCTCTCCTTCCTCTCCTTTAATTTATTTGTACTTCTCCTGAGCTTATCCACTGTCATACTTATGTACTGGCTGTTTGGAAAAAAGATCTGATGAAGGAAGAAAAACTACAAAAATGAAAATGTCTGGTGTATTTACTTCTGCACTTCCCAGACTGAACTCTAATCTCTCTCTCTGTAGCTACTAACTTACACAGAGGAAAGTGAAGAATGACAGTTTAATGTGACAGTTTTTCTACTTCATGTACTGGTCTAGTTACTTATGAATGAAACGCACCCCCATTAATTATTTCACAGGTTATTTACTAAACATATCTCTATGTAGCTCTAAGACTGCACAATTTCACAACCGATATCTTTTTTTCTCCAGGTTTCTGTGGAATCTGTGTCCTTCATCATGAATGTGACTCCTGGCAGCTGTACGGCAGAGAGGCCTTACGGATTCCAGCCTCATCTTAAAGGGCTCTACATCGCCACCGAGCTGATCATCGCCATGCTGGCCATCATCGGAAACTTCCTGGTTTGTCTGGCTGTAACCCGCAACAAGAAGCTTCGCACCGTCACCAACTACTTCCTGGTGAGGAGAGCTGTTCCATCCCTGTCTGAAAATATCTGCTTTCTGTTCAACTCAAGGGAGTAAAGTGTGTGTCATTGCTGGTTGTAGGTATCGCTGGCAGTGGCGGACATCCTGGTGGGCCTGGTGGCCATTCCCTGTGCAGTGCTGACAGACCTGGGTCAACCTCGCCACAACCTGCCCCTCTGCCTGGTGCTGCTCAGCATCCTGATGATGCTCACACAGGTGCAAACACTTCACCAATCCACCCCCCTTCCGTAAAGAGTAGGGACTGTATGAAATTAATTTTGGTTGACGGGGGGGTAAACATGTTTGATTTCAATTCTACCATTAGTTTGAAATGTGTAAAGCTAAGCTGTTGCATATGTAGTGATCATTAACCACAAACTCCAAATGTCTCCTGGCTCCTGGTGAAACTGAATCATGACCACGATGGTCACAGCTGATGGCCAGTGATTAAGTGTATTTTTATGCGTCAGCGCTGGTGACAGTCAGGGACAGAGACATTATGTTTACTGTCCGTCTCATTCTCGTGAACGTGATATCTCAGTAACATCTTGAGGGATTTTTTTTTTTTTTTTTTCAAAGTTGGCACAAACATTCATTTGGACTCAAAAATGAACTGATTAGATTTTGGTCACTGACCTCACAGAACATGTTCTTGGCCATAACGCACAATACAACACATGCACAGTTTAACACAAATGTCTGTGAGGATAAAATGAAGTGATGACATTTTATATCGTAAAGGTCAACTTGACCTATGACATCATAATGTTCTGCACAAACACTTCTGGTCATTATTCAGTGCTGTAACTCAGGAAGGAGAGATGGTGACTGTATTTCCTGTGACTTGGCTGGTTGGTGGTTCTAGATTTTCTTTTTTATGTTTTTTGCTTTTACAATAAATCTCATTGGGGAAAAAGAAATAAAATATAAATCTGTGAAAAAAGTGAGAAGAGCTTCTCTGTTATAAAATATGAACCATTTTTGTGAAATCTTGTAATAAGTGCTGCGTCTTGAGTAACAGCTAAAAATTGTTTTGTGAGGTCACGGTGACCTTGACCTTTGACCTTTAGCCACCAAAATCTAATCAGTTCATCCATGAGTCCAGGTTAACGATTTTACCAAATTTGAAGAAGTTCCGTAAAGGTGTTACTGAGATATCATGTCCATGAGAATGAGACAGACAAACTGAAAACAATATGGCTCCTGCTCTGACTGTCGCCGGCGCGGAGGCATAAAATATCCCATAATCCTCTGTATTTTCTGACACCGCCCTCCTCCCAGTAATTTTTACACAGTCTTACTACAGGTGATGTAACAGTGAGAGTAAAGCTATGCTAACAACCGTATGGGACCTCTTAAAGAAGGTTTTTTTTTCTCCTCCAGAGCTCCATCCTGAGCCTGCTAGCTGTAGCCGCAGAGCGCTACATGGCCATCCTGCTGCCCTTCCAGTACCAGCGCATGATGAGCCCCAGGAACGCCCAGCTCGCCCTGCTGCTCACCTGGGGCCTCGGGGCCATCTCCGGCTCCGTGCCGCTCATGGACTGGCAAAGACAACCAGCAGATTCTGAGTAAGAGGTGGAGGGATGATGGACGGATGGAGGGTGAATGATGAAATGAAGGTGTAAACAGGAAGTAGGTGAGGGAATGGTGTTGATAGAAGAATACAGGGGGATACAGCTAAATGATGGATGGATGGATGAATGAGTGAATGAATGTATGGGAAGAATGAATAAAACGAATGAATGGATAAACAAATGGGGAAATCACAGGAAAATGAAATGAATGGATGAAAAGTACAGGAAAATAAAATGAAGGGATGGATGGATGGATAAGAATGAATGAATTATTATACGGGAGGATTGTAGGAAAACGAAATAAATGAGTGACTGAGTGAAGGAAGGTAAGGACATGTCATGTGTGCATGCACAGCACAAGAGAAAGGTGAATGAAAGGATGAATAATTGAGTAAATGAGTGAATGCAGAAAAATGGAACATGTATGAACAGCAAAATGGAAAGATGAATGATTGAGTGGATGAATGGCAAAATAGATGGAGGGATGAATGAATAAATGCAGGAAAATGGAATATGCATGATATGAACTGTAAGTACAGTATCTACGGAGGGTAAAATGATTGAATGAATGAGTTGCTGAGTGAATGAAAGCAGGCAAATGACATGAATGGATGAATGAATCTAGATGAAAACATGATGAAAGAATAAATATAGTGGAGAACAGAAGACTGAGAGGCAGTGAGACGGTGTGGGTAAAAGGGTGGAGGAAGATATAGTCCGGCTGTTTTCCCTCAATCATGCCCCGCTCCATTTCTGTGATTCCAGCTACTGTGTCTTCACCTGTGTGGTGGACATGACCTACATGGTCTACTTCAACTTCTTCTGCTGCCTCCTGGTGCCTCTGGCGGCCATGTTCATCATCTACGGACACATCTTCCTCACCGTTCGCCGCCAACTCCGACGCATTGCTGTGGCCGGGGGAAACGCAGAGGACACGAGGACTGCTGGTGGGAGCAGTGCGACAGAGGACACAGTCAGTTCAGCTGGAGGAAGCACAGGAGGTGAACCAGACCTGCGGGCAGGACAAGGACCTGGCAGACTACCAAAGGACATTAAGAGAAGAAGTGAAGTGAGCTCCGGGAAAGAAAGGTCACTTATTGAAACTGAGACGACCACCGTCTTTACAAAACCAGGGTTCAGGATCAGCTTCTGTTCTGACCCCCGTCCAGGAGAGTCCACTGTGGCCAAATCCACCGTCCGCACCTGTCAGGAGCTACGCAAGGCCACCTCCCTCTTCCTGGTCCTGTTCCTCTTCATGGTGTGCTGGATGCCCATCCACCTCATTAACTGCATCCTGCTGCTCTGTCCACAGTGCAATGTGCCCATGTCGCTCACGCTCGCCGCCATTTTGCTTTCCCACGCCAACTCGGCCCTCAACCCGATCCTGTATGCGTACAGGATGAGGTCATTCCGCCGCACGCTGACAGGAATGTGGAGAGGAATCTGGAGTGTTTGGCCAAAACACCAGTAGAGCAAGTAAGAAGCAAACACTGCACATGTCACGTTGCTCTGTTTAAACAAACAAGCACCAAATGCGGTTTAACGAATCATTTTAGAGCTGATAATGTCATTAGTTGTGCAGGCGTTTAGTTACGAACTTAACTATTGGTTGAGTTAAAAGTTTGACCTGGTGATGGCACCAAACCAAAGTAGTGTAATGCATTTACTTTAGAAAAAAATCTGGGTTTTTTTGTATTAATGAGATTTTTATCTCAGAATTCTGATTAGTTTTCTAAGAAGAAAAAAAGTAAAAGTAAATTGGTTTAGCCACAGCACTAATGTGGCAAAAATGACATTCCATACGCATCAAGAGCCTAATAAGCAGAAGTCTAAGCTATCACCATTCAGATTTACATCATTAGCAGAGTGTTTAAAAAGCTTTCAGTGCTAATGACAAAATCTATTGCTAACCACACATCTGACTGAAGCTTGAACAAATGTCACGTCTGAGAGTATTTCACCTGAATGGTCAAATCATACAGGGAGATTTTTCTAAATGGAATATAATGACATAAAATCTTAATCTATAATGATATACAAAATTAAAATAAGTTGAGGAAAAATCTGTAAACACAACATTGACATTAATACTGTGTAAAGTTGATGGTAAACTCATTAAGACAACAGTGACCACTTTACAATAAGACTCTCCTTATAAAGGATTTATGAAAGGTTTATAATTAGTTATATAGCTATCAGGTTAAAATAAAATAAAAATAGTGCTAAATTTTATGATTGAGGTTATGGATGTTTCCTGAAATTATTCTACTCTTTAAAAATAAATATGGAATCAAACAGGCGAGTCAAATCAACATAACTGCGTGCTTTATTGATATACAGTAAAGCATTTTATAATACAGTAGTAAGGCATATATTTGGTGGAATCTGATATGTTGTGAAGTATTGATGCATTATTTGAAAAATGATGTGATAATGAAACAAACGTTAGAAATGAAAAAAACAAAAAACAAATCATTTAAATTCAGTGTCTGGGTCAAAAACAAAAACCACTTGGATCATGCTGCAAGAACACGTGTGTGTAACGCTGCAGTTCTCATCATGGACTTCTCTGAGTGGTTATACATTAAATAAGGATGGATTTTATTTAGTCATACATGCTAATATTGTAACACCTCACACAGCACAAAATCTCTTAACCAAAGACAAAATGTAACACTCTGCTAGAATAAATGCATCCTCCACACACAGAAACAAGTATCTAGTATATCCCAGGTATGACAGTAGTTTGATTTGTGTAAAATGTTCTTTCATGATTTTATACTTGAGTCATAGAAAATCTCTGACAGAGATGAGAGATGCAGCTGCTGCATCCCAACATTCAGATCGGAGGCTCCTACAGTGCAGAGTGATCAGGATATCTGACGTGAATCAATCAGCCAGCAATAATCAATTCATAATTAAGAATCTGAGAAGAGTGCAGGGTTGAGTACAGTAGAGAAATCACCTCCGGACGACACTTGAACAATTTACACGAGGTAGAGATTATGTTTCTGGGCTTCTAGAAATCAAATGATTCTTTAATTTTAAATTTTAATCTTTAAAATTAATTTTCCTCAAAATAATCTCAGCCAACCGCTGTGGTGCTCAGATTCACTTAAAACAACATTCATCTAAATTCCTCTGTCAACTCATATACTAATCCACAGTGTACTGTGTGCGCTCAACAGGCCTTTTTACTGTAGATGTCCCAGTGCAAGAATCAGGCTGAAGGAGTCAGGAAAGGCCTGGGGCACAACTGAGGTTGTAAAACTGATGATCCGTTTGGACATAAAAGATACAAGCTATGTCCCAATTCAGAGGCTCCTTCAAATGTGTCCTCCTTTTCCAACCTATCCCAAGATTCATTAAGTATTGCCTTTCAGCTCAGTTCAACAGCTAACAGTAAAACATCAAGTTTTTGTAGAAAAAGTTACATGTTGTCAAGGTTGCTAGGTTACTAGATGCAAAGCGAAATCTCACTTTAGAGTCCCCCCCCCCCACCCCCCTGAAAATCTTGTTTTTAACCAACCTCCAGTGGTTAAACTTGGTTGTGAAGGTGGACTGTGACATCACTGCTGGGTGTGGCTACATTTCTGATCACACTCAGTAGTGAGACTGAAACTGCTTTAAAACTTTCAACCTGTGAGGACAGTGAAACGTTATTTTGTAGCCTGGTGTTAAGTTTTTGTTTAAAGCTGCACTGGAGTTCCTTTTTTGAAAGTTAAAAGTTTTTTCCTACAGACATTTTCAGAGCTGTTAAAGGTGATATATGTAAGTTTTCTCTGTGGTTTCTGTCCAGGAGCGAGAGGTGGTCATCGTCAGCTGCCAAGAGCTTCAGCCATCGCTGTTTTTACAGGACAATACATCCTGAGCAGCCTGGACACTAAAGTGACTCTGTATGAGGAAGTGACAAGATGGGCTGGCCGTGCTGAAGCTAGTCAGTTAGCATGCTAACTTTAGTAGAAGAAGTGATAGTTCTTTCCACCTCTGAAGACAGCTGTTGGTGAGTAAATGAATGAAGTTTGATGTTGAACTCACTATGTTTCTTCTACACTGGTGAGTAAACAGCTGTTAATGCTAACATTAGCTATGTAGCAATAGCACAACTTACATACAGCACCTTTAAGGAGTCTTAAACCTATGATACATTAGTTTTGTGTTTGCTAGCAGTGGTCTTCCCTGTCTTTGTTGTCACACTGCTATAGATTACTGCAAACTCTACTAACTCTTAAAGACATGGCTACATAGAGCTACTAGTGCCACAGTGGACCTTTAAACTTAGAGGCTCTGATATGAAAAGTCATCAGGACTTACCTCAGTTCTGACTCAGGCCTTTACATTATCTGCTAATGCACACAGTACATTGTGTTGAAAACAAACACAGGGATAAATCCTGTTGCCATAGAGATGTTCATAATGTGGGGAAGATGAATAGCTGGATGGACGGATGAGAGGACGAATGAAAAAATTAAATATAAGATGAGGTTTATCAGCCAAAGCCAAAAAAAGCTGTAGTATAATGTGGAAATTAGGCACCACACACACACACACATACACACAGTCTGAGACAACGTACTGTAAAGAACCAGGATGCCTGCATTACCTTGACAGTAGTGTACGCTGTTATTAGAGACAGTTTCCTCTTAGAAAGCACCCTTATGATTACAATCATTCTTTTTGATAAAAATGTGTGAAATGCTTGAGCTGTTTCCCCAGTTACAAAGAGATGACAAACATATGACCACACTGAACCCCTCCCCCCCTCCCCCCTGTTTTATACAGTTGCATAGAAGTTTAAAAACCAGCCTCTGTTAATAATAAAACAATTTCAGGACGTTTTAAGAAACTACTGAAATCTACAAGTTATGTTTTTCTTTTTTCACGTGTCGTTGGAACCGCAATCCTTCACAAAAATAGACGTTATATATATTTGCTTTGTAAACTGTGTTTCCAATCCAGTTGTTTTGACTAGAAAAGCATGCTATAAGTAGAGAGGGAGGGGGAAGAGGGGGAGGGACAGGGGAGGATCAGAAGGGCAGGGCCTCGTGCTGTTCGGCGCTCTGCTCGTCTGTCATCACGCTGACCAGTGACTCCATCGCACGACCCAGATCATCAGCCATGTGGAACAAACTGCCAATACTGGGACCTGGATAGAGAGAGAGTCAGACAGAGACAGACAGAGAGAGAGTGTGTGTGTGTGTTAAATACAGACAAACACCTCCATGATGAACAGATCAGTGTGACAGAGGAGGGAAAGGAAGTTAAAAAGCAGGTGAGAGGAAGGAGGACAGATACCTCTGTCTGTTGTCTGTTCTGATCACATTGAAATCTTATTAATTACACCAATTAGATTTAGCAGACAACAGTGGTAGAGTGATGGTGCCATGGAAACAGAGCTGAGGGAATTGGAGGGAAAGGTGGGGAGTGAGGAAGGTGAGCCACTCACCTCTCATGGGTGTCCCCGTCTCCCTGCTGGCTCATGGAAAAGAGGAGGAAAAGAAGAAAAGAGAGAGAACAGGAAGAAAGAGTTGAAATCAGCCTTTTACACAGAGAGAATCTGAAGGAGTAAAAACGGAGCTTGTGAAATTTGATTTCAATATGTCAGATTATATTATATATATGTTGTCATACTACATTGATACATTGGTAGGAGTACTGTGAGTATACTGGTCACAAACTTTAAACTATCAACAGGGCGAAAACGTAGCAATAATGAAAACGTAAAAAAATTCTGATACTTTTGGGTTATAATGTGGGATATGAATTATTATTGATTAACTAGTTATATTATTTACATATTTATTTGTTAATCAAATATTTAGGAACCTTCTCTGATTGCACATTTAAAAAAAAGAAATACAGCGCCTGTATCTAAACAGGAAGTTGGACTCATGATATAAACTATAATGTGTTCAAAGCAGCCTGTGAGCCAAAGGCTAATTTACACATCTGGAAATAAAGATTATTATCATTATTGTAACAGGACTGTTTCCATATTTATATGAATTGTATGATGTTTTCACATTTGGACTTGACTAATGGGAGAAACTACACACTCCCATAAATATACTGTAGAAATATACCTCAGGTATGACATCATATTAGTGTCACACCTCAGATCCAAGTTGTTTTGTTCTTATAACCACTGTGCATGTTCTCTTCATTTACTTTCTTTATTTTTGTTTGTTGTCTGATTGATCATATTGTTCTGAATTACAGTTGTCACCTGATTGATTATTTTATTTGATTAGTGTAAGAAAAGTGAATAAAAATCAGAGTGAGAAGCTGCTACTTTCATATTTGCTCACAGTTGAATGTCTTAAGAAAAAGTCTTCATCGTGTCCCAGACTGATCTGATTTAAACAGCTGTGTCAGAAAGAGTGGACAGTGTGAACGAGACTAGATGGTGTGTGTGTGTGTGTAGGCTCTCTGTACCTTGGCTGTGAGGGAAGGAATTGTTGAGCTGTTCCA